GCTGCTAAGACACAAATTCAAGCTTTCAGGTTCTTGTGTTTTTCTTGCAACATCTAAAGCAGAGTTACATCCCATGAAAAGAACAATAGCCTGGCCTTTCAGGGGATGGGCTTGGTGATCTAATAGGTCTCTTCTATCTCTAACTTCTGTGAGTTTAGCATCAATTATATCATCATCTGCTGCAGGGGGAAACTTTGAACTCAGATTTAGCAAATACTTGAATAAGGGAATAATGTTTTGACCCTTTTAGTTTTTAAATGTATTTATTTGTACTTAAAAGTGTATGTATGACAGTTGCTTCTTGCACAGAACAGCTACTGAAGTCAAGAACAGAGTGCAGCATAACCTTAAGACTTGTTAAGTTGGCCACAATGTGGCTCTTCTAACATTTAATGTAACTGTAGGAAATGCATACTGTACACTACAGCCCTAATCCTACAAACCTGCACATCCATACTTTACCCCCATGAATAAAGTGTTGACAGGACTGGGATCCGGCAAGTCAGTGGGGGATCTGTTTGTGTACTTGGGGCAAACGTACCCATATTCTGTTACTGATTTGGGATTGCCATTCTTTTTCCTCCCCTCCCCAAACATTTCTGTTCTTCTTTAAAACAGAGTTCTTCATTTTTAATTAAATAAATTAAACCCTTTTATAAAATGTATGTCTATCAGTGCAGTAATAATCAGGGTGTGTTTGGCATTCATAGGAAATCGGGATCTAATCCTGCAAGGTGCTGAGTACCCTCCACTCCCAAAGAAGTCAGTGAGAGCTGATGGTGTTGAGCAGCTCAATTCTAAGATTCTAAGTATGTTTTAAAAAAGTTTTGTCCCCCCATATCAGCCCAACCATAAATTGACTAATCTGGGAAATAAAAAAGACAAATTTGTATTTATCTCACTGGAAAACATACGTTGTATTTTCTGCTATTTAAAGCCAAGGGGTCAGGGAGGGAGTTATCTGCAGTGACATGAACTGAAATATATGTTGATTGTGAAAATAGAAAGATGGAAAATACAGTGTACCTTGCCAATTATGTGCCATGACTAACATTACTTCACATCTCTATAGAGATCATAATTCATAGCTAGTAAAATGGAGAGCAGAACTCATCCTCTGACTACTTATCTCGGTCTGCCTTTTTGAGAGAGAGAGAGCGTGTATGGGCTTGATTCTTAAAACAGCATATGTAATTAATTTTAAAAGGCAGCTTTAAAAATTAAAGTATGACCATTTTTCCAGTTAAGGGCCCAAACCTGGGTGCTGAGAGCTCCCAATTTTTCGACTAACTTGAAATGAAGTTGAGGATGCTAAGTTAAAAATTCTTAGCTAACCAATTTAAAGAAATAGGGTGAATTGTATTTAAAAAGGTAAGCTGGAAATATTTCCCATCTGTGAAATTCTGAAATGCGATACAAACAGATATATTCCATTTCAAAAGTTAATTCTATTTTAAGCATATAAAATAGTTACTCAAGTCACAAATATTGTAAAATCAGACCCATCATTCTGGATTTCAGAAGATATGGGTCATCCCTTTTATATATCTTCACTTCTTATATGACACTATGTCAAAATGTGTTTTATGTAGTTATATTTTCTTTCAGAAAAACCTATATAGTAACCCTGCAATAGGCATTTAGTTACTCTACGTTCTAATGTAATGTAATCTTTTTGTTTCTCTAAAACATGTACTCACAAGATACATTTGAAGGCAGGTATGAGAGCCTTCTGATGTGAATTCCAACTAATGTGACCTTGGGGCAATGTTTTTATCTTACTGTGACAGTCACAGCCTAGAAAGATTGACTCTTTGGCATAAAGCAACATGCTGGGTTTTAGATATATTATGCCAGATTTTCAGCCTCGCCTCTGTTTTTGAAGGAGCAGATTTTTGCTTGTGAATAACTAAGTCTGCATTACTGCATATGCAAATACTATGCATATGCTAAAATATAGTGGCAGGAGATGAAAATCCAGCACATAAATGCAAGTCCTCATCCTACAGAGGAAAATGGTAAAATTCCCATTAATTTCACTGGGACCTGCATTTGGCCCTTTCAGTTTATCTTGGGGGCTCACGAGCACCAGTGGTTCAAAATATATAGTATTTGTCAATCTCTAATCTATCACTGGTTGCATTTGGAAAAAATAAGGTCTGTATTGTATTAATGTCACAATACCAAACAGAAACCTTTTGCTAAGATGGCAGCCTTGCCTGTTTGTTTCCATGGGCAAATATCTTCACTCTGACTATAGAAACTAGTTTAATTTTAACCTGCTTTCCTTCTGCAAATCATTTTAGAGTGATCTCCTAGGCCTGATATTTGCTCTTTGTAATTCAAAAAATCAAAAATTTTAAAGCCTGTCCCATGAAATTACCCTGGAATTGAATACCAAAAAATGTTGGTCCAAAGACGTGAGAGAAAAATAATTCTAATGAAATGATATAATTGAAAATGCATTTCTAATCTGAAAAGTGACTAAAGATAACTTTTTACCGAACAGATGTATGCTTACTGCAAGTCAGATCTATGCACATTAGTGGCAAAATAAGTGTTACAGTACTACGTTTTTCTCCTGCTACCTCAGGTATGGGGAAATGAGCTGAATTCTTTTCACTTTTGTGCATCTGCAAAACAATTGTTTTCTAAATTTCAATTACAAGGCTAGCTAGTTACACTGCAAACCCATGGAAGATAAGAGGGTTACACTGGTATTACAGAGGGCATAATTTGGCCTTCAGAATATTTGTCATTCATGGGGATGTGTGAGAATGGAAGACTCCACCTTTACTCAGACCACTCCAAGAAGTTTCTCTCCCATTACTATCATGAGACTATGTGGAATGTAAATCACTCAGTGAACAAGAGTTAAGGATGTTGCTGGAAGAGAAGCATGGTCTATTTGTCTGAGTATGTAAGTAAGTGGGAGCTAATAACTCCTAACACCTTGTCCCCTCTATGAACCTGCATAGATCACTTAACTTCTCTGACTGAGATTCTCCCTGAAGTTAAAAGTATTGCACAAAGTGCAAATCAGTGCTGAATTTGGCCTATTGTAATGCACATGGGCCAGATTCTGTTCACGTCACTCACAAGGGTAGTCCCTTTGACTTCTGTTGCACTACTCGCATGAGTAGTATGAGCAGGATAAAGGTCTGTGGAACGTAACTTTCCACATTATGGTGAGCCCTCATCCCCCCAACCCACACACGCACTCTGAGACTGCACATACATTCCCCCAAATGAGCCCTCATTCGTTGAACTCTGCCAGTGGTAGCAATGTTGTCAGCTATAGCGTAAGCAGGACTCAGCTATTTATCTGTCTCTTCTAATCATCCCTGCCTACTAAAGCTGCACTATTGCTGCCTTTGGTGGTGCTGCACTAGCAGTCAATCCCAGGTCCCATTTTTGCTAGCATAGGCAAGGCCAAGAGGATTGTCCATCACGATGGAAGTTATGGACACAATAAGTTAATTTAACAATGTTGTGGCAGATGTGTCACTCAGGATATTCTTGCTTTTGTTGTATAATGTACAATGTCTTCATTATTTTTAGGTTTTTTTAATATTCAAATCTGCAGTGAAATCCTTTTGTTTAAAGTTGACATTCTGCGTCTCAGGCCCATGCATGGCAATAGTGTCTTGTGTGTTTTTTGTGTAATAGGATCATCATGTCCTCTCTCCAAAGGTTGCGTTCAATGTTTTTCACAGGCAATGTCTCAATGAGGGGAGTCTCCACAGACTTGCCTTGAAATTGCTTTTAGTTTTGCTGTCATGTTGTTATGTCAGAGTCATAGGGTCTTAATAGACATGCGTTGAAGTTCTTCCTATTTAATGTCTGTCACAGGATCTTCAAAGACCTGCACTGAAGTTGGTTTTAGTTTTGCCAGGTTTCCATAGACTTCCATTGAATTTGCTTTAAACTTTGTCTTGTCACATTGCAAAGGCACAACTGTATCATAGTGTCATTAAGGTCATCAGAAACAGAAACATCTTTTTCCTTGTGTTCTTGCATCATCACATCAGCTTGATACTGTCTTATTCTGGGTGCAGTTAATCTCCACAGGAACTAGGAGTCAGGACTCAGTTATTTGAGAGAGTAACACTCTGTGTCCTGTCATAGCTATGGCAATTAGCAGGTTCACCTTTTCTTTGTGCATGATATTACACCCTCTGGGTTGGTCTGCTGAGTATTCAGTGGAAACCCCTCATGGTTGAATTTGCTCTTTCTGTGTTCCATGAGAGCCCAAATTTGAGCTTCATGTTGTTGCAAAAGACTCATCTGCATCGTCAGGCCTTTGGATCCTTTCTGACACTTCATTTGAATAGATGTGAGCAGAATCCTTGGACTGTCTTACTCTGAAGACTTTACAGCTCTGCATCCGACAAAGTGGGCATTCACCCACGAAAGCTCATGCTCCAATACGTCTGTTAGTCTATAAGGTGCCACAGGACTCTGCTGCTTTATGGCTTTGGTGATGGAAAGTCCCAAAATGCTGAAGTGTGGACACCATTATGCATTTGTTAATTTAAAAAACACTCATAATTGCATCACCACATCATCTGCACTGTTATTGACATTATCATTACCAATTGTTATGACCAGATATCCATATTCAAATGTCAGTAAAGTCTTGCTCTTGAAGGACAAACTATACTGTATAACACTAGAAATGAAATTTATTCAGTAAATGGGATGGGGACTCACTGTGAATATGTTTGGGAACCTAATACCTGAACAGGAATATGCCATGTTGATAGTGAATAAATTTAAGTGGTCACTAGCTATAATCCTTTGTCCAAAACTATCTTTGAAAGACAGATTAGCAAAGTTATATGTGACTGCCCCCAAAAAAGTTTACCAATAATAATACCTAGCTCTTATGTGGTGCTTTTCATTCATAGATCTCAATGATCTTAACAAAGGAGGTCAAAATCTTTATCCCTATTTTATAGATGGGTAAAGTGAGTCAGAGAGAGGGGGACATGACTTGCCCAGTGTTACTCAGCAGATCAATGGCAACATTAGGATTAGAACCCAGATCTCCTGAGTCACAGTCCAGAATCAACAAAAGAAAGAAAATTAAACTTGTATCGGTTTGGTTACACTTGCACAATATCAGAATTCAGACTACCAAGTAAAGACAAAAGTAATAAAACAATGATATCTCAGGATTCAGATTGATAACAAAACTGTATCTGATGTCATAGAAAGGTAGGGTTGGAGGGGACCCCAAAAGGTCATCTACTCCATCCCCATGCACTGAAGCAGGATCAAATATACCTAGACCATGCCTGACAGGTGTTGGTCTATTCTGTTCTTAAAAACCTCCAGTGATGGGGATTCTACAACTTCCCTTGATAGCCCATTCCAATACTTCACAGTATTTATAGTTGGGAAGTTTTTCCTAATCTCTACCTAAATCTCCCTTGCTGCAGTTTAAGACGATTATTTCTTGTCTCACCTATGCACATGGAGGGCAGTTGATTACATCCTCTAGAATAGCCCTTAATATATTTGAAGACCTCACGAGGTCCCCTCTCCCTCTTCTTTTCTCAAGATTAAACAGATCCAGTTTTTTTAAAGCTTTCCTTATAGGTAAGGTTTTCTAAACCTTTTATTACTTTTGTTGCTCTCCTCTGAACTGTTCCCAATTTGTCCACATCTTTCTTAAAGCGTGGTACCCAAAACCGAACGTAATAATCCATTCAAACCTTACCAGTGCTGAGTAGAGTGGAGCAATTACCTCCCATGTCTTACTCCACTTAATACACCCCAGCATGATATTAGCCTTTTTCACCACTGCATCACATTGTTGACTCTCATTCAATTTATGATCCACTATAGCCTCCAGATCCTTCTCAGCAGTACTACTGACTAGCCAGTCATACACATTTTGTATTGGTGCATTTAATTTTTCCTTCCTAAGTGCAGTACTTTGCACTTGTCTTTACTGAAGTTCATCTTGTTGATTTCAGACCAATTTGTCAAGGTTATTTTTAATTCTAATCCTTTCCTCCAAAGTGCTTGCAATTCCTCCCTGCATGGTGTCATCCACAAATGTTATAAGCATACTCTCCACCCCATCATTCAAGTCATTAATGAAAATATTGAATAGTAACCATTGATGACTACTCTTTGAGTATGGTCTTTCAACCAGTTGTTCACCCACCTTATAGTATTTTCATCTAGACCACATTTCCCTAATTTTCTTATGAAAATGTTGTGTGATACTATGTCAAAGGCCTTACTAAAATCAAGATATATCACTGCTTCCCTGCATTAGTTAGGCCAGTAACCCTGTCAAAGAAGGAACTTAGGTTGGTTTGTTATTATTTGTTCTTGACAAATCCATGTTGGCTATCGCCCTATTATCCTCTAGATGCACAGTAATTGATTGTTCGATAATTTGTTCCAGTATCTTTCCAGATATTGAAGTTAGGGTGACTAGGTCTATCATTCCCTAGGTCTTCTTTGTTTCCCTTTTTAAAGATAGGTACTATGTATAGAACAGTCAACATGAATATGCAGTTGTCAAGGTAACCTATTATCCTAGATTTACACACACAACTCCAGTTAGCATAGGAGTTGTATGGCTGAATCCTCACAAACTGATAGAATTTCTTTTGAGGTACTTAGTATAGTATTAGTACACATATATGCCCATGTTGTAATCATTTAATGATGCAGTGGTATTTCAACAAGTTCCATTACAGTCATTTTGAATTTGCATCCTAATCTTAGCACAGACACCACAGTGCCACTTTAAAGTCACATGGCAGTCATCTAATAGAGAAAGCAGAATGATGTCATGCGGTCAAATGTTTTTATTGCAAATTGCAGTTGTGGGACCAGTGGTATCCTGCCAACTTCCAAGATAACAATTTTAAAGATTCAGCCATACTGAGAAATATCATCAGTGGTCACACATTAACTAATATTTTAGTACCTTTTACACTTATAGCATTCTAATGCCAATCCAGAGTAATCATGTGAAAGGAATGAGAAAGTAGAGATCTATAGCTACTACTCATATAGAAAAATATACAAGTGAAAAATATTTTGAAATTAATATTAAATTGCATTGTTATTAGTGCATTGGTTACCATATGGGAGATATTTTAGGTTTAATATTTCATATTGCATGTATCATTCCTGTCCCCATCCCAGTATTTATGATAACAAATGTGAGACTTTTTCTTTTATCTTATCTTAGTTGTGGGCATTAAGTCTGGCCTTTGTCTTTACTAGGTATAGGATTTGCCCTTCTTAACACAGCGGAATATTAGCTTAGATGATTGTGAATTGTAGTTCATACTGGTTCTTTACAGGGCTTAGGGAGATGGAAAGAACAGTTGATAAAGGGGAATGGAAAACAGTGAGCAGCTTAGAGAAGCCTAGGAACTGAATCTGTTTTTTTCCATCTTCTTATAAAATGATATTGTCTGAATCAAATGTGCAAGGGTTTCCACACATGTTGATACAGACAGGAAACAGAGAAGATCAAGAAGACAATCTGTGGAACACAAATGGTTACACTAATATTTAGTGGCATTCAAGAGACCCACTATTTTTCAGTGAGTTAACTCAGCCATAACAGTTTGCACTGAAATCAGACTTGCCATTAAAGGATCCCAGGAATGTACTCCTGAGCTCCAAAAAAGCTGCATTTTTGCATGGGATTGATTGTCTTTCTTATGCACCTTGCTAGCAAGATGCATATAGTATGTTTTGAAATGCAAGTGTAAACACTGTTTAAATCTGAACATCGTTGCTTATGCATTTTAAATGAGTTTTGTTCATTATGGTCCACATTCAATCCTGGTATAAGGACTGAAGTCAATGGAGCTACGCCAGGGATGAGTTTGGCCTGATATGTTTGAATACACCTATCTATATAAGCATTATAATGGGTAATTAGATATGAGGTAACACTTCAAAGATGGATCAAATCCACTTCCTTTAATATCGACTTTCTTTAAAAGTACCTAAATATAGCCTACCAGCTAAATCAATTTTGAAAAAAACTGACAGTGTTTACACAACATACCACAATAACTCTGCATGTTTGTTGCTCTTGGGCACATACATTTTCTTTTTACAAATATATATGTAACTGTTAGATTAGAGTGGTCCAATCCTATCATTGAGGTCAGTCAGACACATGCCTGCATAAATCAGTGGCTGGAATGAGCCAACTCTATAGAAGCAGTTATAGTCTTCCAGTGTAACAGACACATTTTGAGAAGGATTCACTAATGTTGTATGCCTCAGTCTTTGGGTGACCAAGTTGAGACATAGTGCCTGATTTTCAGAGGTGTTGAGAACCCATTGGCCTTCAGTAAAAAAATCTTTTTATGCCTATTTAGACTTCTCCCTGTTTTTGTTCTTGCATAAAAACATGAGCATTGGAAATCACATACACATACGTTAGAGTAATACTAAAACATTTACTTAAACCTGCCTAAGTGAGGAACTTCAGATATATAGATGCCAATGCTGCATTCTTTGTGTACCAATCCCAATGACTTTGATGGGCATCTTGGGTGCACAAGGAATGCGGTACTGGTATTATAGTTAGGTCATATCCTGCCCTGGTCCACCTGCCCTGGGTGGATTAAGACAAAGTAGGGCCTGAATCCAATCCAACCAAAGGGCTTCTCAACGAACCAAAGGCCCTGCACAAAAAAGCAAAGAGCCCAGTACTCCTGGTGTAAAAGTGCCCCTGGCACTCTTGGCTCCTTGCAGTGCCAATGCTACATCTTGCTTCCCCAGCCACATAGAATACCTTAGCTCTCTATTATGACAGTGTTTCCTCCTCCAATAGATCCTTGAATCTAAACTTGTTGGGTCCCTGGGTACTGTCACAGTCCAAGGCATAGAACCCCAGAACTGTGGACTCCACTGTCGGACATGGAACTCATATCGGTATCAGTGACCATTTTTAATTGTGAATTGAAAAGTGACTATGGCCCTTTAGGCTGAAATTTTATCCTTAACTCTTCTCATTGTTCCCAAGTATGGCATGATCAACAAACACAAAGAAGCCCTCAGGTGCCATAAGTGCTGCAATACATAGGTCTGAGGACAGTGTTTCCCCCTTCGTTTGAAATTTCCTCACATCTAAATTTGTATTTTTATTGCTGCTATTTGAGTGCAATTTTAAAATGTTAGTACAAAAAAATCAGCATGTATGATTGACAGAGATGAGCCCAAATTGGAAATTCAGATTAGAACCCCCTTTGACTGTGGATGTCGTTCAGACTTGAATGCCCAGATATTAACCTAAGGCTTGGGCTGGGTTGAATTCTAAACTGGCAGGTGTGTGTTTTCTGATTCTGTTTTTGAAGGGACCAATCTCTCACCAAATAAATAAGTTTTCATGAGCTTCCTGGTCTAAATAGTGGGAATCTCACATAAGGCACTGACCCTGTAAAAGTCCACCCTTTGGGGCTGCTATCTACAGAGAATGGCTCTTGAGCTTTCTGTGTGTAGAGTCCAAAACTTAGCCTCTCTTCAATACCCTATCTGCCAACAAAACCCATAACCAGATCCAAATCTCCAAGTCCTGTTGTGTGTTGTACATGCATGAAAAAAGGCACAGGCTTTACAAGTATAGGAAGGTGGAATATTTAGAGGAAGATGGCTTTTTATTTGCTTTCTTAGAGTATTTGAGAGGGTTTCACTAGATATCCTATGAGGAAAATGCACAGATATCTATTTTGGTAATCCTAGAGAAAGGGGCGGGTGAAAATACATTAAAGGGAATCAAGTATCAGAGGGGTAGCCGTGTTAGTCTGAGTCTGTAAAAAGCAACAGAGGGTCCTGTGGCACCTTTAAGACTAACAGAAGTAT